CAAAGTAACGATGAGGAGTTGGAATCAACTGGTCCTAAATCTATGGTCCGTTCAGCATCGTTTGCGAAAAACAAAAAGGTCGCATTGAAACGAAAGAGGGATGATCTATTGGACAACGAATTGAATAAGGAAAAAGATCCGTCGATGTCTGACACAGTTGGTGAAGCAACTAAGTTAATTGAAGAAAGCGCAGGTAATACAGATGATATCAATAATGGTCATGGGTCACCCGATCGACTTGCATCGCTCTCGCAAAAAACATCTGCTCGAAAGAAAGTTAAAATAAATAAAGTTTCCAAGCAGGACGCAAACGATGGACAAGGTAGTTTAAACCTGAGCCATGTGAATCCCCTAAACAACACATCCGACGATAGATCAACGTCTATAAATGGTAGAATTACCTCGCAAAAGAAAAAGCATAATATAAGAACGACTATTCGTGGAAAGAATGTGCTGAGAAAGACCTCACTCAACGAAGAGGATAGTGCTGAGATAATTTCTGAGAGCATCGTGATTAATTCCCCTTCTATGAACATTGAGGAACATAAATCTAGAGTAAATGGAAATTTTACTCTACAGACAAACGAAACGCTATTAAAAGGAAATTCCAAGAAAGAGTCATCTAGTAAAAAAAAGAAAAAGCGTACTAAGGTTTCTGATCAAGAGATTTCCGACGAAATTTTAAAACTGACTAGTTCAACAATAAGCCAAGTGCAAAATGGTATGTCTTCTCCTCAGTCTCCAATAAATGGGTCAACGGAAGGGTTTAATTTACTGAATGGAGATGATATCGAAATCAAAGAAGAAAATGATTCGATAAACATAGCAACACCAAAGACCATCGAAGGTGATGATGAAACATCGACACCGAGTGCGACTTCGACTAGGAATGGACGAAATAGTATGCCTGCACAAAAAGAAAAAGGCAATGTTTCACAGCAAAGAGGGGGAAGGCGCTCTCCGTCATTGAGAATAAGAAAAGGAACATCGAGAAAGAAATCTCGTTCTTCTCCATCAAATGGAAGATCAAGAAGTGTAAAAACGGTCGAAGTACTTGATTCCGATAACGAATTTGTTGTGGATAACGCTATACCTACTTCACGCGCTGATCGTGGAGAATCATTAGGACAATTACAAGTAAGGCCTGTTGAGGCCAACCTGTCTCGATCGGGACGACGGCGTACCAAAAGTCATGCGACCTATTCCGATGA